ATGTATTTATGTATGTATATGTATGTGTATGTATGTGTATGTATGTGTATGTACGTATGTGTATGTATGTGTATGTATGTGTATGTGTATGTATGTGTAGGAAAGTATGTGAAGAAAAGTATGTGTACGTATGTGTATGTATGTGTATATGTATGTATGTATGTATGTATGCATGCATGCATGTATGTATGCATGTATGTATGCATGTAAATGTATCCATACCGAAATATACAATATGCATATATAAATGTATATACACACAAAGAGAGAAAGAGGGGGGAACAGGGAGAGAGACGGAGGGAACTGACTGACCTGGATGGGAACTGCCCCAGCCGCCCCGTCCGAAACCCTAAACCCTGAACATCACTCAAACCCTGAACATCACGCAAACTTAAGAAAGCCACAAGCAAAAGCACCCGAGGACCCAGCTGTCCCAAAGACCAGGCAGAGGCTGCCTGGAAGCCATCAACTTTGGGGTTTCGTTCGTTCGCTCTTCCACTTAGATCCCCATGCTGCCTTCAGGTGATCTTCGGGCTCGTTGATGAGGGCATCCTTGAGGGGCGGGATGCCCTTCGACCTCGAACAAGGGGCTTGAGCTTTCGGCTTTTGGGGCTGCCTGAATGCGAAAGCAACGAACTTCGCAAGGTACTGCACCGGTAGAGCTCTGTTTTCCGACAACACTGCCGCAGGAAGTCTGCCTCTTTTGACCACGTTCTACAAGTGTTTGGCTCCTGACACCACGACAGCCAGCGCCAGTGTCTCGGAGAACCTTTGGACTGAGCGGTGGGGCGTTCTTCACTTCTTTTCGTGTCCATGAGGCCTTCGAAGCATCAGAAGCAGGCACCCTGAAGTTGCTATGGCTGGCACTCCCAAGCGCTACAATTGCGACGAGCAGTTTCATCAAGACGAAGGTCCTGGTACTGCTCTTTGTCTGCGGGTGCCAACGACTCGAATGATAATGGCATTCTTGCCGCTACTGCATGCTATGCCCACGAGGACCCACGATGTTCCTGCATGTTTCCAACACTCCGCTGCCAACAGCTCTTCTTGTGGCATGTTCAACAGGACCCGAATTCTAAATCCTTGAACCCCACCCAACTCAAAATCCAAGGTCCGAGCGCCGCAATGTATCCCAGCGTCATGATGCCTCAGCTTCTCAAACGTTAGGGACCCAGCGAAGGCGACGAAGGATGCCTGTAAAACCATCCTAGAAATAAAAGGGACCCAAGATGCCAGGCAGGCGGTTGTTGCCGCGAGCCTCCCGATGACCGAACTTGGGGCGGGTTCCGAGTTGGGGCTCAGGAGCTTTGGTCCCAACGTTCCCAAGCTTGAGAAGCTTCCAAAATCCGGAAGTTGCCGGCTTTAACCCCGGGCATATCGACAACACACTGACGGAGAAACTCGAGCGAACTCACATCTGTAAACGGAAGCATGAGGCTTCAACGCCCTTAAGGACAGAGCACCTACCCTGGGCTTTAAAGCGTGCAGAACCAAAAGGAGGGGCTCCGAACGTTGCACCTCCGTGATGTAATCCACCATGGCGGCAACTCCACCGGCATTGACAATGAGCTTGGCCAAGTCCGGAGTGTGGCCTAAAGCATGATTTAGGGCTTCAGGGTCCAGGCTTTAGGATTTGGGGTAGAGTGTTGAGGTACAACCCACTGGAGATGTGCACCGAAACCCCTCGAGCTCCCGAGACCCCAGAGGATGTACGGGACGAGGGCCGTGCGCGCGATCTCGCGGATGCACGTGGCAGCATTCTTCCGCACGAACTCGTCGATGTCCTATACTAGACCATCCCAATCCTTGAAGTCAGTAGACATTCCAGAGTTGAAAAGACCCATCAAGCTTCGAAGCGCAGCAGCCGGTGCCGACCCCTAAAGTGTCTGCTTCAGCCAACTTGCAACTTCGGGTTGGATTTTCTGCGACTCTGCTAAGATGAGTATAAGCACCGCAAAGCATACTCTGAATTTGTAGAGTCCTACGGCAGATCGGGGACTTACAGCACAACCACAACCACTGGCCGATGTCTTAAAGTCTTTGGGTTCTCAGGAAGAAAAGAAAGGGAATCCCATCTGCCAATGGACTCTGGTTGTTAAATGCTCTGGGCGGGTGGCTTCACCTCCTCTACCTCTTCGGCACACCGAAGGCGCTTCTTGGCTGGAAATATCTACGTGCAGCTGAAGGACCCTGAAGGAGCAGTCCGGTGCCGCCTTCTACTGCAGAAGAACTTGCAGCATGATATCAAGCTTGGGTGAGAAATTAAGGGCAGGCTAGTTCGGCGGGATAGCACGAACTGCCCACATTGCCCAAAGAAGGGGGGGGGTTACCTGCAACTCAAAACTGCAGGTGTTCGCATGTTCATAGGCCACCCGAGCCTGTTTGCATCAGTGGGCGAGTGCAGCTCTGGCGTGTCACAGCCCTCTGTCCAAAGGCTGAGGCATGTGCATCACGACGCATCTCCACTTTCAAGAGGAACGCAAAAGGGTTCCTGTGTACGGCAACTAGGTAGTTGTTGAGCTCCCGGACGTAGAGTTCGTGCGTCCCCAGATCAGGCGGGAAGGCCTCCTTGGGAGGCATCGGCAAACAATCGGCAGTGTCTGCGCAAGGTTCGTCATCTCCCGGGTCGCACAGCTTCGGCCGAGCCTCATTGCACCGGACTCTACTGACCGCACCTATGTCTCGAGGCTGGCGGCTGTAAGCAGGACCGGCATCTCTCACTTCACCGCCTTATGAGTGCAGCCCCAATAGAAGCAAGATCCATGCACGACCTGCATTCCGAGCATCGGAGTGAACTGGTATGATGCATTATTCACAAACATTAAAGTGAAAAATCGCACCCTATCCCTGCTTTTTTCAGCAGAGTTGTAGCATCACAGATTGGACCCAAGCAAGCAGTCACAAGTCCTTCAGGCAGTGCAAGATGCGCGGGAAGATCTCGGCTTCAACCACGACCTGCTTGCCAGATCTCACACGCGATTTTTGCCGCAGCCAACTCTCAGCTATGCATGCTTGTCCGCTTGTGACTTGTGATTTCCAGCGAGTGACTGCATGATTGATGAATTTAATGATGGGTTGATCAATGCATCCTCGACGCCCCTCCCTGGACTTGTTTCATAGCAGTCGCAATAGCAGCAACAACGCCCACAACGTCGACGACGACGACGACAAGTGAGCCACTACTGATGCTGATGATGCTGATGCTGCTGCTGCTGCTGCTGCTGCTGCTGCTGCTGCTGCCATCTGCTGCCAGTTGATTGTGGCTGTGATGGCAGCAGCAGGAGGCGCAGGACCAGCAATAGCAGAGACAAGAAGCGCTGGATGAGGACAAGAATGACGGAGAGATGACAACAGAACTCCGTGGACCTCTGCCAGGTCCACAGAGTGCTTGGCAATCTGCGCCAGACAGGAGCACACCTGCGCCGTGGGCCACTCGAAGTGCAATCTTGCATTCTGCAAGGACTCTATATGTCGTCAAATCTTACAAACTCAAGTCAACCAAGCCGTACCTGACGCTTCAATGGCGCATCGTTGTGGGAGATGTCCTTGGCCAGGAGCGAAACGGCGCCTGAAAAAGAGCACCAGGAGCTCTTTGCGCTCCCGGCAGCTGGGATGCGCCATGGAAAGTCAGGAATGCAACAGTCCCTTGTCCAAAGTGACCTCTTTGCGGATATGATCCTCAAAGGGCTTTAGACTCTTACCAGCTGTAAGTGTTCTACCTCTGCAAGCAACTGTGTTCCTGCCCAGTCCCTGCGAGAGGCCTGCGTCCACCACAGTCTGTGCCAGCTCAGGAGAGTGCTTGCAGATGTCGCTCAGGGCAGACCTCGTCGACTGTACCAGCACCAACCGATCTGCACATGTTGACCCATGATTCAAAGCAACAAGACGTGCCTTGTTCCGGAAGCGTGTTGCAAAACAGCGCGACATCACTTGACTCGGTAATTTCCTGTTCCGATCGCCTGTGTCTGGGTCACCCGACGCAGAGATTCGCTTCAAGGTAAGTTCTGGCTCTTGGAAGCACAAGACCAGCAAAGGTACTGCGCCTGCAGGCGAATGCTGCAAACTTCAGCCCAACTCATCCAAGGAAGTAGCCCAAGAGTCTAAGCTGCTCATTTTCAAGGTGGTCTCTACGGTAGCATATACACTGTCGGTATGCAGGCCAAGCACTTCTCCAAGCAGTCCATGGCAGTACATGTCTTACCGTTTACGTTGATGGAGGTACGGGTCCCAGAGAAGCATTCAAGTGGAAGGTATTCGCCATTGGCAATCTCTTTTGATAACCTTCTGCGCCACATCCTTCGGCAGATGTGAAACAGCTGCTATGTGTCCTCAGGAAGGCCACTCAGTTGTCCATTCACCTGCAAGGATATGTTCTCCGGCTCAACAGGTAAGGCTCGGAATTCACACTCGTAGATCCAATTCAAGAGCTGCCAATGTCTGCAACTGCCCTCAAACCATCGACAGTACATTGGAACACTGCAGGCAACATGCGCGCCGACCCTGCTCACACCAGGCGACTGTTCATGGCAAGCTTGCCCACTGCCAGATTTTATCTTATCTGACCTGAAGCCTGATCTCGCCATTGCAGAAAGTGACTCCCGCCTGCTGCCGCGAGAGATCTCTCGAATCCTCGAAGAGAGGACAGCAGAGGGATTCCGGCAGTTGCTCAGCTCCTGGGACGAGAACGGAGCAGCAGACTGCCTCGAAGACAACTAGGGTCTGGAGAAGAATAGAAAGCCCGAAGCCAGAGACCGCATCGCCGCAGCTCTGCAAGATGTGCTGAGAGTTACAAAGCGTTACACTTGTGCGTGAGCCGTCGAGCCGAGACTCTGCACCATCCTGATGCTTTCTAGGATGCACGCCACTCTGCTGTGCACATTAATCCCTGCCTTTTTGTGATGACATCTGACATCTACAGGCACCTGCTCCATGACCCGCAATTGGACTTCTGGTGCGGCGGCTCGCATCTCTGCCTGCGCTGCCTGTTACATGGCGACTCACAGCAGCCAGCAGATCCGGATTTATGCAGGCATGTCGGGCAAGCTGGACGCACGCCGCAGTGAGAGCCAGGTAATTCAGAAATGGAGACTAGACGGCCACCATGGCACGAAGAAGCAGAAGAAGAAAGATCTCCAGTACGAGGTACAGAAGGAGAGGGCGCTTGCAGTGTTTGTAACATTTCAGTTCGCAGGGAGCTGCTCGCAGGTTGGCCTCATCCACTTTATACCGGGACAAGTACTCCTCACAGGTCAGGGCACAGAACCGAAGAGAGAAAAGAGTTCCGCACTGCTAGGCACAAAGCTGAGCACGTTGGTGGCTTGGTCGCTCCTCCACGGTATCCTGGTGCACCGAAAACTCTGGCGCAGGAGGCCTCTGAGCAATCCAAGCATGCTTCCGGTCTTACTTCCGACCCACCTATCCACAGAACCGGCCCCTGCCACACCCAGATCCGATATCCATGACATGGCCTGGACAGCAACCCCACAACAACCGAGTCTGGGACCGGGCAGTAACGGAGCGTATCCTGGCATCGGCTCCAACAAAGATCTAGCGAGCTTGGGCTGCCAGCTCACAGACAGATCCTCTCTAAGGCACCCTGTGAGCTTTCCTGTGTTGGGTTCTGGCATTTTGTGTCACAGCCTGGGTCACGCGAATGGGCATGTCGTCACTGAACGCTATCGCCATCACGACCATCACCATCATTGACGACAGAATCAAATTTCGAAAAAATTTCAGCCCACACACTTTATTGGGGCTTCAATCATGTGATAATACTGGACTAAGAATTGAGCAGGTTGGAGCGCTACCTGAGGTTGTGGACCGAGGCAGAAGTCCGGCAAAGCTGCAACTAACACGGTGTAATAAACTATAATACACTCTTTCCTACTATGATATACTGTGGTACACTATGTAATACTATACTATAACACAACACAATCTACTACGATAAGCCCCCTTCAAATCCCCTTCAAAGACTGAATCTCCTCTTCGAGCTCCTCTTCGCTGAAGAGAAGCTACGCGAGCACAGACGTCCAAAGTAAATGTCGTGCTAAGCTGTGCGTGGTGGATGCTCGCAGCGCGCGACAACGGCCCTAAAGCCGCAATTAAACCCTATAAGCCCTGTGATCACTCATCTAAACCTCGTCCTCCGCAGTCTGCACGGGCGTTGAGTTTCAGATTGGCGGTGATAGGGTTGGGGCCTGAAGGTGTTGGCGATCGCTATCCCTCAGCTTCCAGGAGGCAGTACTTGATGTTTGGCATAAGATGCACGTCTGAATGCAACCCTCTATGAGTTTTTTGGGGGGGGTTGTGTGGTTCCGTCAGAAAGTTCGGGTTGAAGGTTTAGGGTTCAGGGCGGGGTCTGTGCAGAGCTCGTACTTAAGAGGCCCAAGGGACTTAGTAAGTTATAAGTAGACTTTAGGCTCATAAGTAGGATGACCCCTCTTAGGGCCAAGTGGACCCAGCCCTAATTTTCAAGGTGTTCGCTTGTAATCTCAATTGTTGTTGCAACTGCTGCTTTGTTACAATACACTATGGCTCACTACGTTGTGCTATAATATACGTTGTGCTATAATATACTGTAACCTACTTCAATGTACCAACCCTAGTAACCCGGGCTGCTCCTGGACTTCACCATGGCGGAAGGGTTGCGAGCTTGCGCCACATTGCAGGTCATGACCTCGACGGGGGGCTTTTTCATTGCCCTTTCTCTACGTAACATAGCATATCATAGTATATAACGGTATTTTCTAGTGTATTACTGTAGGGGTCGAAGGTGTAGGTGGACCTGGGCTGATGGATAGGGGTCCTAGCGGCGTAGGACTCTAAGTTCAAGATGCAGGTTCTGTGTGTTAGGCAACTCGGGTCTGGGTGTTCGGGGGTAAACTGTGGAACTCTTACGACTTCAGGGTTTGGTAAGTTTGACGGGGTTGCAAGCCAGCAAAAATTCCAAGAAGGAGGACACTGACGACGCTGCGGATGATGAGTTCGTGATTCGGAGCTCTCTTCCCGAGAAGCCACCTCGTTGAGCTGTGCTATCGGCAAGGCCCGAAGTTGTGCCGCCACAGAATCGTCGAGGTCCCATCGGCGAATGAAGTCCTGCAACAGCTAGCTCGCAGCATTGCCCATGACGGTGCAGTGGCAGTCATCACCATCAGCGAAGACTACGCAGTTTCATTCTGTACATCATCATCATCACCATCCTTGTCATCATAACCATCGGACTGAGGAGGAAAAGATGCTCGCAAGACTGCCGACGCAACTTCGCGGAAGACTCCTCAGCCGGGCTGGGCAGGGGCGTCCCCGCTGCTGCTCGAGGCCTTGTTTGCAATCCAATTCAGAGCGGATCGTTGACCACTATTCTTGGTCTCTGGGAACAGGAACCGGAAGCCCAACAACCCACGAAGACTTCACCTGAGCCTCCAGCCCGCGCCCCGTGGGTCGCCAACCGGCTGAGGGGGGAGGCGGCTGTCCAGCCGGTACGTGCATGGCCTGCCGGTTTAGGGCTTAGGGTTTTGGGTAGTGGCTGAATTTGGGTTTGGCTGGATTTTGAGTTGCAAAATGCGTTTCTCGGCTGTGCAGATGGTTTCTCAGGACAGGCCAAATAGCTGTGGTTGATTACCACCATCGTCATTACTGCTGGTTCAGGCATCATTCCTTGATAGTTGCCGTCAGCTCCTTTGCAGGCGCGAGGCTTAGAAGTAGTGTGACAATATTGGTTGCTATCACCCCAATGGTCATGGCTGTTGTTCGCGGTATCAACACGAATACCCCTGCTGCCCGTGAACGAACACAGTGCAACATTGACAGCAAGATGAAAATGTTCTTTGATTTGGCCGCTGGTAGTTTTCTTCATCTTGCCGATGCAGACCTGGGCCTGTGTCCTGACTTTCTCCTTGGACGTGGTCGCCCCCGAAGCTCCAAAATGCGTTGACTCCAAAGTTCGCAGAATCGGGCCTCGATCCCGCGAATCCGCGAGATAAGGACTGCAGAACCTCGGTTACAGCGGGCAGGCGCTTCGGCTTCAGACCAAGGGCCTGCAGCCTCTTTGGCAAATTCCCTCCTCAGAGGCCTGGCGAGAAGCAAGAGCCACGACTGGACCATCCCCAACCCTCAACCGCAAGAGGCCACAAATGCGGCACCCTAGTCAGTCCCTAATCAACGGGGAAAGAAGCTGTTGTTGGCGTTGGTCATATCGCTGCCGATGATCACCTGTTTGCTTTCCCAAAAGTCTGAACGCGCGGTTCTGCTGCAGAACTTGCATCGAACGAAGTAGAGATGTCAATACAAGGATCGAAAACGGCAGGACAAAACTGTGCGGCAAAGCGTCATCGAAAGGCAACTAAGCCAAGTGCACTCCTCCGGTTCTTATTTTGCTGACCCACTGGTACCCACTCTCCACTCTCCGGTGAGGGGCCTGCTGGCGATCCACAGGCAGGGCGCGGAGCATCGCCGACGCTTCCTGGCCGAGACTTTTCGGAATGCCCAACTGCCTATAACTACCTTGCTCAAGGCGTGTCAAGAAACCTCTCTAATTACGCGACAGACTGCCCACAGTGCTCTCTGTCTTCTGATTCTGGGCATGGGGAGTCTAGGCTCCGTGGACAGGAAACATTTGCAGGAGATCGACTTGTTGGCAATTCAGCATACGCGTCGAATGAGACAGATCTTTTCTGCCGATAGTCTTGCAAACGCAATACAGTCTTACAACCATGCCGGTGGATGCAGCGAGCAATCTGAGGCATGGTCAGAGGAGATCATGACGCCATCAGGCCCAGACCCTAACTCGACCCAATGCAAACAGCACCAGCCTCGTCAATGTTGTGCCGATGCCTTGGTTTCGAACAGGGCGTGGAGCACGTGCATCGCCGCAGCGCAAGTTGGAATTGCTGATTTCGAAGACATTATAGTCATACAACTTCAGGGAGGCTCTTGCTTGCTACCATGCAACAAGTTGGCCGCATAATTCGATGTTGATGTTGAGACATGACATCGACATCAAAGGATCACATCTCAAAGTTAGACATGTTTTACCGGGGTAGCT